AAGACTGCTTTGATTCTGAATCTATTCACCTGGGTGGATTTGGGGCTGTTGTGGGGAAAATCTAAAACACACACACACACACACACACACACACACACACACACACACACACACACACACACATTGTTGGATTGACTCATGGTTAGTGTGCTTGATTGTCTGCAATAGAGGTAAAGCTCCTTCGATTTTGGATCTAATCATCTGGGTGGAACAGAGGTTGTTGTGGTGACCGTGTACAAAACACACACTCTCCCCGGAGGTGTGCTCACTGGACAGTTTGGACATATCTGTAACAATACCACCGACTTCCAAGCTGCAGTGACCTCCCTGGCACGACGTATGCTTGTTAGGAGCCATCCTCCCAGTGTCCTTACCAGAGGCTGGACTGCATATGTGCTTGGCTGGCAGCATCAGCTACCCACTCAAGTCACACGACTTTCAAACTGGTTTCGCCGCATGGTGCGCTGGGCAATACTCACCCACTGACAAATGCTAATTGTGCACACAGGCAGCATCAGCCCTCTGCACAACCACACCCAATGGTCCCCCACACTCCTGAGCACCAATTCTGAATATAGGCAACATCAGCCCTCCACACAACCAAATGCAGCAGGCCCACCCTCTCCTGTTATTCCTGCTGAAATGGCAGACGCTAATGTGGAGATACAGCAACTCAGCTGGAGACCAGGCCAGCCGCAACAGACAATGCAAGCGCTGCCGAAGTACCTGCAGGGGATGACTACTGCCGAAAGTTTGCCTCCACCTCCACCGCCACCACCACCACCACCACCACCACCACCTCCTCCACCACCACCTCCACCACCACGACCATCATCATCACCACCACCACCACCATCATCACCGGCTCACCCACCTACATCTTGTACTACTTTATCCCCTCCATCAACTGGCTCCTCTTCTTTCTCCTCTTCCTCCTCTTCCTTCTCTTCCTCCTTCCTCCTCCTCCCCCTCCTCCCCCTCCTTTGCCTTCCCTTCATCATCGACCTCATCATCAACACATTCATGGTCAGATCAGCTGTCACAGAGGCCTCATCGGGGGAGGCATCCATGGTCAGATCAGCCGTCACAGAGGCCTCTTTGGCTGAGACATTCTCCATGTCCAGCGCCACCTCCTAGACAGCGGCCTTGTTTGTCCTTGGACAGCATGCTCACCGCGCCCCCAGCAGTGGTCAGAGATCTAATCCAACGCCATGCTCATTACTATATGGAACGACGGTGTCACTCTCAATATACACTAGCCAGGAATAGCACATACCAAGTCCAATGTCCGCAGTGTGGCGAGGATTTTTTCAGTGCTACAGGCCTGTGTGTGCACCAGACACGAGGCGCAACTACCTGTGCAGCCACTCTGAGCACAAGTGCGGCTGAGCAGCCTCCGCTTCCTGCATCCGACCCACCCACTTCTCATCCACCTAGCCCCGATTGCTCCCCCGCTCCAACTGACAATGATCCACCTGATCACTTGACGGAGCCCCCGACTGGAGATGATCTCTCTCCGGAACGCATGCTAGAGTTACTAGAGCCGGATGAACCTGACAGGAACAATCAAGACCGGAATGAACCTCCCTCTACCTTGCAATCTGCAGAATTAAATGAACCTCCCCTTGCCACACAGACTGCAGAATCAAATGATCTCATAGTGCTACAATGAGGCCACTGTGCATACTATGCCACTAATGTGTCTCCTCGCTTACAATTGCAACCCCTATACCGTTTCTAATTTTGCAGACATTATCTGCTAGATAGAAGAAGACCACCGTGCTGTCCAGCCAGAGGATGGCAGTACTGCGCCTGGCCTGAACATAGAAATCCTGTCTATGGCATTTATAGGAAGACGACGAAAACTCCAGCGCGCTCCACAGAACTACATGTCAGACATGAACCCGAATGCTCATGCGTACATCCCATGGTAACCCCGGACCCGGACACCGGACGCGTCCGGACTGTCTTCCGGACC